CAGTCCATAGGGTCACAAAAAAGTCAGACATAACTGAAGTAATAGTGTGTGCACACACACACACATGCATGGTCCGAGACTGGGTACCAGTTTGGATGAACCAGGATTTTGGAGTCAACTGAAGAAACTTTAATATGACGTACATATTAGATGAGATGAAAATATATTGAAATATGAAAGTGGAAACTTTTAACAAAAACAGAGATTGTAAAGCAGTGTGTACCAGATGATCTCATTTCAGTAGTGAGAAATGCAATATGCCCATGTGCACAGATAAGGATTCAGAAGACTATACAACAGGGTATGAGCAGGAGTTATCTCTGGGTGATGGATAAACAAGGCTTTATTTTTGCTTTCTTGTATTTTGTTTTTAATTTTTCTTATTGCTTCCTTGATAAAGCATTCTTTAAAAATATTTTTTTCTAGGACATCCCTGGCTGTCCAGGGCTTAAGAATCTGCCTTGCAAGGCAGGGACAGATGTTCAATCCCTGGTCCAGGAACTAAGACCCCACATGTCACAGAGCAGCTAAGCCTGTGGACTACAACTACTGAGCCGGCGCTCTAGAGCAGGCGCTCGTCAACAGAAGAAGTCACTATAATGAGAAGTTGGTGCAGCGTAGCAAAGAGGAGCCCCTGCTCGCCGCAACTAGAGAAAGCCTGTGCACAGGAACAAAGATCCGGTGCAGCCAAAAATAAATAAATATCAAATACATACATATGGATACATGTATATATATTTCCAACTTCTGTCTCTTTTAAATAAGGCTGACATTTAATCAGAGGAAAACTGCTCAATGAGAACACCAACATATCCATTACACCCAAGGTTCGAGTTAGGTCTAGTGGCTGACAGTGTGAGCTCTGACTGAATTCCATACACAATGCGCTGTGTGGCCTCCGGCATGTTACTTAACTTGTGTCTCAATTCTCCATCCTAAATGGTGGGTAATAAAGATAACATTATTTGGCTCATGGAGATTAAGTTGACACTCCACGTAAGCATGTCAGAGAGTTTGACATGTAATAGTCAAGCACGAGATGATACTGATACAGGTTTGAACCCTGGTAGGGGAACTAAGATCGCACATGCCACAGGCCAACTAAGTCTGTGTGCCACAACTGAGACCCTATGCAGCCAAAAATAAATGATTTTTTTAAAAAAAGCTTCAAAACTCTCTAGTTAGTGCTTCTGAAGAGTCAAACATGTTACAAGCAATCCCACATGTGATTTCTAAATTTTCTAAGATACTGGTAAAGTTCTTTCCTTTAGAGGCCACAAAGTGATCAAGAATATACAACTCACCTTCAAGGAGCCCTTCCTGAGTGAATCTAATGACTCTCCCCTTCTTCCACAGAACCAACTACTGTCTTAAACCCCGGCAACAGGACATATTAGGTTTGATTCATATAGATAAAATGTTGGCCATTTGATATTTGGAATAAACATTTTAAGAAGTTTAAGAGACAATTAAGATGGCATTTCAAACACATGAATTATAGGATAAAAAAGGTTTAAAGAAACCCCAGTACCAGCACTTCCCTGGTGGCCCGGTGGCTAAGACTCTGTGCTCCCAAGGTCGGGGGCCCTAGTTCTATCCTTGGGGAAGGGAACTAGATTCCACATGTGACAACTAGAGATCCCATGCACTGCAACTGAAAGATCCTGCATGCTACAAACAAGATCTGGCACAAATAAATAATAAATAAAGAAATATTTTTTGGAAAAAAAGAAGGAAAGAAATCACAGTACCTTAAGAGGTAAAAGATGCAGCTGTGGGGCTTATCTTCTGCCAACTGGACTTCAACCAGTATACTAGTAGACAAAACTGACTGCAACCTTTGTTTGGTTGATAGTGTGATAGATGGAGTAATCTGGATTTGCACAGCATTGTAAGTGGGCAAAACAGTCTGCCCTCAAGTAGCACTTCACAAGGAGCAGAGAAAACGTCAATATCCATACCATCAGAAGCCTCTGTTAAATGCCACCAAACCACACATTAGGTATCAAAATTGAGACGCCTACGTTCAGTCTTTAATGGGCTTTCTCCTCAAATGTCCAATTAAATGTTACTAATGAGGTTCAGAAACAGAGCAACCTAGCTGATATACAGGTCATATACCCTAGCTCATCTTCTCTAAAAACAAACAGTCAAAGCATAGTTATCTATGATGAGGTCTATGTAGACCCACCAAGTTATAATTACTTTCTAAGGGTATTATTTTCAAATGTCTGGGTCATAAGCTTAGAGAGTGATTTATCCAATCTTTCACTAGAGAATATGTGATGCAAATCATCTCCAACTCTGGGAAAGTCTATTTCCTTTTCCTGACTATCCATTTATCACACCCACTAGCCTTCTCACTGAGCACCTAAAATCAAGCCCTAACTTGAAAGAGGGGCCCACTGTCATTCTGTACTATGGCAGTTATTTCACTGGGCTTTAGACGACCTCCAGTTAGTGTCTTCTGAGTATGTGCCTGCCTCTTTAACCTATTATCACCTGTGAAAGATTAGGCTATTCATTCTGGGAGCTAATCATAAACTCAGCCAGTCTCTATTTAACTTCCGGTTCAAAGGGTGAAAAGGAGTGTCTGAATCAATGTCATCATTTTCACAGCTTAGGAATATAAGTCCAAAGAGGTAACACAAATTACCTGTGATCACGTACTTAATTGGTGGCAGATGTCAGAATAGAGTCTTTCTGATATATAAAGTGAATCTGGATCAACTTAAGTTTCCCCCAAGTGACTTAAATAAATCAACAGAGAACTTGTGCTCTATTTGGAACATTAGCTATCCCAGAAGCAAGTAAGAACTGGCACTGTCTCTTTCCCAGGCTGCTGATCAAACTTTAATTCACAGTTCCTCCATGAGCTACAGGCATGAGTTTTGCAATGGCAGCGCATGCAAAGAAATTCTCAGGCACTCCTATCATTGACTACACAGACTTTGCAATAAGAATCATCAACTTTGGGAATGATTTGGCAACCATAAACTGCCCTGTAATATCACCAGCTGAATATCTTACAACGGTATTTATCTCACCATTGCCAAACTCAGAATTTCCTAACCCAATAAATGGATATTCTGCTTCACTTGACCTCAAACTGGACAGATTTCTCAAGATGCTGTGGGTCTTTAAAGATCTAGATTTCTCCCAGTGTTTCTCAACAGGAGCAATATGACATTATGAGAACCATCCTCAGTGTGTTATGTGTGATTATCCAGTACACTGCAGAAGGTTTAGAATCTTTGGTTCTGTCTTCCAAATGCAAGTAACCCATGAGTCACAACCCCTACACATCTATAAATGACCTCTGGGAGGAAGATACTATCCACCAGTATTAGCCTTCAGGCCAATCATTAAGTGAAAATTAAATAAGAAAAAATATTTACATAAAGATAAAGACCTGACCTTTTTTCCCTGCCACTAAATACTGACTTCCATTCCTCTTTATTTTTAGCCCAGAGATTAGATATAATGCTTTATTCACTAGCTCCTAAAAACCAGCTATGTGGGAACTATATAATTAGAACACTTGCATGGTCAGGGAAGTGGAGGAGGAGGAGACAAGTTACTGATACGGAATCAGGGCATCTAACTTTGAATTCCAGTTTCTAGCTATTTATCTTTAGGCAAGTTCTTTTCCCTCTTCAGTCCTCAGTTTTATCATCTATTTAAACAAAAGGCATTAGTCTAAATTCTGTCTCTGGTTCACTGCAGTTTTGGGAATCTGTGAAGTAAAACATAATTAACTCTCCTAACTCTTTTCTTTGGACCTCCATGTAGCCAAACATGGGTCACTACTTCCTCTTTCAGAAGCAAGGAACCCAAATCCCCAGAGATAACCATAAGACAGGACAGTCACATTCAGCCAGATCCAGCATAGGATTTTACTACAGATTCTGATTCTTAAGTGTATAAAAAGGAGCTGAATTCTTTTATAAGCCATTAATAATAGAAGCACCAAGATAATAGCAGCAGCAACAGTCACCTTAACCTATGTTTGTCTAAGCTTACCAATAATCTCAACCCTGGATGCATGTTATCATCACCCAAATAAGTTTTTAAAAATGCCCCAACTCTAAGCCAAGCCAGTATCAAGTGAATCAGAATCTCTGGGGATGGGCTCATTTCTCAAGATTCCCCAAGGGATTCTTATGTAGCGTGAAAACCAAGAACCACTAATTCAGACCCTGTAATCCAAGAAATGCAAAGCAAATGAACACAAGTTCACATGTTGGTTGTACAAGCAAATATCTATAAATAAGAATAATATAGCAGTATTACTTAGGGACATTCTCAATTACATGCAAAGAACTGCGTTTCTAGAGGAAAAGGAGAGCTCTGCAACAACCCCTTGTTCCTCAATAAAGACTGGCCTTGGGATTTCACTGGTGGTCCAGTGGTTAAGAAAGGTGTCAGACTCATGACATCAACCACCTTGCAATGCAGAGGATGCGGGTTCGATCCCTGGTCAGGGAACGAAGATCTCACGTGCCAAAAGACAAGTAAGCCTGTGCACCACACCGCAATAGTTTGTGACTGTGCCCTACAGCCTGTGCTCTGCACAGCCAACATAAATTAAAAAAAAAAAAAAGAATATAACGTCCTGACATGATAAAGCAGTTCAGAGAAAGATTACTACCAGTTTGCCCATCCCTGCTAAAGTCCTATCACTCATTGGACAGTTACAACAATGTTAGTCAAAGTAATAAGACTGAAATTCCTCAGCCTCACTTGCTGAGTCTCGCTAAAAGACCCCTTGTAAGAAGAACAAGAGAACAGTGAAAGGAAACATTTAGGAAAAGATGTTTTCAAAAACCTGTACCCCAGGTAAAATATCATCTCTCACTTCTCATCAAAACTTTAAGTCCAGTGATGTAGAAAAAGGTGAAATAATCTTGACTCAAAATATTCTTGCTCTTTCTAGAACAAGATCAGTGAAACCAATAGGACAGGCTCAATTAGAAAAACATTCAGCCTCTCTGACTTACCTCATGTGTAAGGCCAAACCATCCTGGAGGCTTGAGATCCCCAAGTCGGAGAGCGTGTCTGAGCTGACTGAGGCTGGTGACAGAGAGCCCTCCTTCTCCTCCAGCAGGTCAAGCTTCACCAGGCTGCTAATCTCATCCTCCGAGTTATCTTCAGACACGGAGCCAATTATGAACCGGGAGTGCTGGTTCAGCTCCAGAGGTTTGGCCAAGGAAGAAGGTTCATCCATTGTTCCTTCAAAATGAGTTCTCAGAGCTATGGAGAAGACGGAGCATAAGTAAGAAAAACAGGTTGTGGATAATAACCTACATCTGAGGAAAGCCACAAGTTAGACCCAATACACCACAGCTGGCACCTGGAAGCAAGGCGGAGTCTGAGATCTAGTATTCTTGGCTATTCTTTTTCAAAGATTCTGCTTTCATTTTTTTCTTAATTCCTCTCTATTTTTTTAAATTTTGGCCTACACTACACAGCATGTGAGATCCTAGTTCCCTGGGTCAGGGATGGAGCCTCCTGCGTTGACAGCACAGGGTCCTAACCATAGACCACCAGGGAAGTCCCAAGAATTTTGCTTTCTAAAAGAAAATTCAGATCATAGGAACTACACCTAAAAAAATTAAAATCAGTTCCCTTTTCCTCAAAGAACGTTCTCTCTAAAAACTATAAGCCATTCCCAATGTTTTTAAATTTGGTCATGTCCAGGAAATAATAATGACCAATGGAGAAATCTTTGCAAGTAGGTGAAAGCTGCTTGCTGTGATATTGTGATTTCAGCTGTTAGTATTGGGGCTTCCCTGATGACTCAAAGGTTAAAGAATCCGCCTGCAATGCAGGAGTCCCGGGTTTGATCCCTGGGTTGGGACAATCCCCTGGAGAAGTGAATGTCTACCCACTCCAGTATTCTTACCTGGAGAAATCCATGGACAGAGAAGCCTGGTGGGCTATAGACCATGAGGCCACAAAGAGTCGGATACAACTGAGCAACTATCACTGACACTTACTAGAGAGAATGTGGGTAAGGGTGTGGGGACAGCAATGGTCCTTTGAAACTTGGTGTTTAAAGTAAAGTATACAACTATAACCTGGTTCCAAATACTACACTGTGAGAGGCTATGAATTTTATGTAACTGTACATATTTATTAGACATCAGTGAAATAATATATAACAAATTATACATATTTATTATACGTAAGTGAAATATATTTATAAACAAACATATATAGAGAAAACTAAATGTGTATATATACTGCACACTACACACTACACACTACAAGTTTGCTTGAAAGCAAACTCCAAATGAGTATTTCTTAATTTAAAAAAATCTTTACTTGTTCCCATGACTTTTTTCTTAAAATTGCATCTGTTACAAATTCACCCCAAAATGTCTGTTTTGGGCTCTAATGTGTTGACTGCTGAAACTGATAGGGAGAAAGTGAATCTACTGTCAAATTTAAAACCTATAATTAAAATTAAAGAAGTGTTATCTCAATTAAGTATAAGTTCTCTAGATACAGGGCCTTACTAGTCAGGAGTAGATGTTACCAACTGCTAACAAACTAATTAACAAAGATCAAAACATAGCTCAAAGATGAAAACAATAATAAAAGCCAAAAATAAATGAAATATTTACTCTGTCATTTCAGAAATCCTATTTAAAAAAGTCAAAACTACACGCCAGGGAGGCCTGGCGTGCTGCAATTCATGGGGTCGCAAAGAGTTGGACATGACTGAGCGACTGAACTGAACTGAACACATCAAATTGGTATTGAACAGCTTATTGCCTGATCAATAATTCTAATTGAGAGGAATGATTCCCAGTTCTGATACTGAGATGCTCTAAGAAAGTTACAATAATAAATTTATTATTAATAACTTCATATGCTACAAACCACTTTGATGTATAAAAGATAACAGTAGTGTTCCTTGACATTAGATAGTAAAACATCAAGATTTTAAACTATTTGAGGGTCATCACTAAATATGTTAAAACCACACATGCACCATTAGCTGCTTTGTGTAAGTTATGAATCAGAGCTTATTCATTGACAAAAACAAAACAGGATCTGCAAACACTAGAGCAGTGGTTCTCCACGTGTGGCTGCTGGACCACGACAGCAACCACAGCACCGGGGCTCCGCCACGGACGAGCTGACCATGCCTAAACCTGTGTGTCGGGGCACAGTAATCCACTTTGTAACAAGTCCTGAAATTGGAAAACCACTGTGCTAGAAGAATGGAACAATAATAAAAATTTGGCAGAAATGCTAAAAAAATACCTATAGACAATCCTAAAAGTGAGCTGAGGATTACTTAATTTTTCATTTTAAAAACCAGAATCAAATATTAATATAAAAGCATCATGTGACAGGAAAAACTTGATGTCTAAATTCACTATACAGGGGACTTCCCTGGCAGTCCAGTAGTTAAACGACTCCATGCTTCCACTGCAAGAAGCCCAGGTTCGATCCCTGGTCTGGGAACTAAGATCCCTCATGCTGTGCAGTATGGCCAAAATTAAAATAAATAAATTCCCTATATATTTCTCCTTTAGAATATTAGGTTTCTTTTTTTTTTTTTTTTATCTCTCCATTTTTTATAGAGGGTCTTTTTTCGAGTGTTTTTTTTTTTCAAAAACCCCGTGTTTTTAAAAAGAGAAAAAAAAAAGATATAAGGGAGAGAAGGAGAAAGGGAGGGAGGGAAAAACTGTAACAGATTTACCACTCTGAATTACACCAACAGGTACAGCAGCAAAAAGGCTGCTTCTTTCATATTTTTAGAGCAGTGACTAATCAAGCTTAAAAATACTAGATAAAAAAAATTTCCAAATTCCATCTCAACTAACACAGAAAATGACAGTTGCCTTCTTCACAAGAGAAATAAGTAAGGCACTCAGGGACAGATTCTAGTTTATAGTCTAAGCAAAATTAGATAACTGAACACACACACACACACACACACACACACACACACACACACAACATCCTATTGAGAAAGGACCAATTCTCTGACTCCAAGGGAGAAGAAAAAGAAAGGACTAAACAAATGAAAGGCTCCATATGGTCAACTTCAAATTGTTCTTTCCAAGCTTTGGACATGAAGACAGCCTTCCCTATAGGTTCCAGAGACTGAAAGCAGCTAAGAGTCAATAGCTTAAAAGCTCGTCCACCAACCAGCAACTCAATACTTGAGTGGTATTCCCGGGCGACCTACAAACCACAGAAAAGAGAAGTCGTGTATGGAAAATCACTGAGTAGCTGCCAGACACTCTAGAAGCTACTCCATCGCCCATCCCATTTCCACTGATTCCAGCCAGAATAGAGGAGAAAAGATGGTGGATACCTACCATGTCAGTCTCATGCGCTTTCACGCTACCCCCTCTCAATCTGCTTATATTCTTTTGTGGAAGGCAACTTTTAACATAAAAGTCTACAATTCCATATTTCAGCACATGAACATAAAGCTTTTATCACACTGTACACATGAAAGAGAATGATTTGTAACTGACCTCTTATAATTCTTATTGTCTGAGTAGATATCCACTTCCAAAAAGAACTAAAGAGAGAAAGAGAGAGATTTGAAGTGGTGTTGTTTTTTTAAGAAACTCAAATTTTATCAATTGCTGTTTTGTTCATCTTAGTACAAAACAAAACACTCAAAGTATCATTTTTCTGGTCAAATATACTATTTATTAACTTGAAGTTCAAAGTTCAGTTGACTGTTTAAATCTGTAAATCAAAAGCATTATACATCCACAGACTTTATTATTCATGAAAAGTATTAAACAATAATCCAAGCTTACCATTCCACAAGGTGACTTTTCCAATTGTGTGTCTTGATGGACACATTCTGACCGTATGACTTCCAATATTTCATCAAAAAGGAGGCAGTGGGGACAAGAGAACCACTAGATTCTCAACAATTCACTCAGGCTCTGATTATGTTTTCACAAAGGTTGGGAGCCAAGGAGAGGACAGGTCTCTTAATCATTAAGTCCCTAAACTAAGGGATGAGATGGCTGGATGGCATCACTGACTCGATGAACATGAGTTTGAGTAAACTCCGGGAGTTGGTGATGGACAGGGAGGCCTGGCGTGTTGCGATTCATGGGGTCGCAAAGAGTCGGACACAACTGAGCGGCTGAATTGAACTGACTGAAACTAAGGGCGGCAAGAATCTCTAGCTATTTCCCAAATACTCAGTTTCCTTCTTTGCCCAACAATTATAATGTATTCGGGGTAGAAATACTCAACTTTGACTACATGTAACGATCACCTGTGCAGTTTTATTTAAAACAAATAAATGGATCAAGAAGATGGGGAGTATTTATACAATGGAATGTTGGCCATAAAAAATGAAATTTTGTCATTTGCAACAACACAGATGGATTTGGAGGGTATTAAGTGAAATAAGTCAGGCAGAGAATGGCAGATATTGTATGATACCACTTACATGTGGAATCTAAAAAATACAACAAACTAGGAAGTGAATATAACAACAACAACAAAAAGGCAGGTTCACACTTACACAGAAAAGACTAGTGATTACCGGTAGGGAGAGTGAAGGCGGGGAGGAACTATAAAGGGGTACAGGATTAAGAGGCACAAACATTATGCATAAAATAAGCTACAAGGATATATTGGGTAACACAGGGGCTATAACCAACATTTTATAGTAACTGTAAATGAAGTATAACCTTTAAAAATTGTTGACTCTATATTGTGCACCTATATATAACATTGTATATAATATTGACCATCAACTATACTTCAATTTTNATGAATATATTATATTATATATATATTTATATGTATATTATATATATACACAAAGCCTGCATGCCCTGAATCCTCTGCTCCTGCAACGAGAGAAGCCACTGCAATGAGAAGCCTGTGCACTGCACTTAGAGAGCAGCCCCCACTCTCCATCACTAGAGAAAGCCCTTGCACAGCAGTGAAGATCCAGCACAGCCAAAAATCAATTTAAAAAATTATAAAGTAAATAAACCTAGGCTTGAAAATCATTGCTCTAGAGTACAGAAGAAAAAAGAAGGAAAGAACCTCTTTATACAGAGAGGAAAGTCCAGAAGCTCAAAGAGAGGACCCCAAATGACAAGCAACGGGACTGGGGACAGTGCAGGTATGCCAAGTGCTGAGTTAGGGTGTACCTGATTGTGTAATCTGAGCTAGTGTTATTCCCTACAATTATGGCAAAGAAGTCAGTGAAAAGAGGCAGGAAAAAGTACATAAGTGTGGAT